TCATATCACGTTAGGTTTCAAAGCATAACGTAACATGATGTGACTGGTGCATCAGGCAGGGGATTTACAAAGAGAGACATTCTGCAAGACATTAGATCCACTTTTTTTTTTTAATCCGAGCTTGAAGATAAAAGCAGTTGGCTTTGTGTACCGTGCGCTGTGGCAGGACGGGTGCTCAGCAAAGCACGGCCGCGCTCACCACACGCACATCTCCCCCAGCCACACTCAGAAGCAAAGAGAAAAAGAAGATGAACACAGACAAATAGAGTCTCCCAACGCCCGAGCACACGGCAGGCACAGCCGTGCAGCCCCCGCTGTGCCAGGCACCCCCAGCCCGCAGGGAAAGCGACGGAGCCGTTCCCGATGCAGCCACCCGAGGGTTCCCACTCTCCCCGGCCCGCCTGCTCCCTGCTGACCCGCGCCCCACGTCCTGGGCAGGACGGGCACCTTCTGGCTGTGCTGCTTCACGGGAACACGTGCGAGGGTCTCACAAACAAAGCTGCTCCTGCATCTCCGTCACATGGAGCAGTTCTCTATCTTTCAAGTTCTTCAGAGGCTCCTATTTTAGCAAAGTGAAATTTTAAACTCTGAAATGGCACAAAAGCTACATTTTCCCTGGAAATAATGGTAGCAGAATTTTTTTTCCTGGATTGGCACCAAGCTATATTATATAAATATAATACAACTTTAAAGCATAAGGAGATGCAAAGTGTTTGATTTTTTCCAGCACCCAAGCTTGATCTGAATTCCTGCGCACCTCCAGACCTCCCAGCTTGGAAGGCTACCTCAGAAGGCTGCTGCTGGCATGAAAGTGAATTATAATGTCCGAATTACAATTAGCCAAAAGTTTGTTCTCAAAGTCTGAGCGTGTGGGCTCCCTAAAGCCCTGTCACGAACCCAGGCCTGCGCCACCAGTAATTTCTGGTTCCCATTTCAGACCCATCCCCAGCACAGCCGCTGCCCGCAGAGGGATGCAGCGGAGCCGAGGAGGGTTTCAGCAGCGGAAGGGAAGGGATGATGTATTCCGTTTTTAATTGGGGCTGCAGAGAATATTCAGACAGCTGCCCACGTAGGAATATAACCTGGATGTAACACGCAGGCTGGTAAAAAAGTTTGTGAGAAGGAAACATTGTGACTTTTTCCTATAGAACACACTAAACAGTCTCCGAGTAAAAAAACTAATGATTGGAAGATTCCTTATTTATTCTGATAAGTTATCATCAGTGTCACCGAGACGAACGTTTAGGCAGAACAGCTCCCCTGCCCACACACTGTGTTTGCTTTTTAAAAGTATTGCAAATAGCTCAGTGGCTTTAAATAAATAAATAGCTAATGAGTCACACCAATAGGAATTTAATGTCAAGACGGAGGAAGTGCCTGCCCGAGTGCCTAGCCTAGAAAGTTTGTTCGGATTTCTTAACCACGTCGGTGCTGCGCCTGCTCCCAGCTCGCTGTGGCAGACAGGAATTTTGCTGGGCATCCCCAGCCGGGCAAAGGCAGAGCCCATCCTGCAAGGAGGGCGCGGGGAGGTGGGCACGGAGCGGGTGCACGGGGCTGGCCCAGGAGCACCTGGAGGCACAGACATCGCCTGCTGCCTGCGCACCTCGAGCAGCCGGTGCCAGGGCACACCCCGCAGAGACAAAGGCACCGACCCGCTCCTGGAAGCACAAACGGGGCCCTGGGCACGGGGCCCAGCAGCAGCCGTGCGAGGTGTCTGAGGGTGCTGCACGGGGAGGCTGAAGGAAGCTCAGCCCCGTTGGTGTGCCCATGGAGCGAGTGGGAGCTGGCGGGTGACGCCATCCCTCTCCTTCATTCATTTCTTCATCCGAGAGAGCTGCAAAAGCCCTCCAGTTACTCAGAACACGAGGTCCCCTCTCACCACCCACTCGGCCTATATTGGTACCTTCACATTTACAACAAGCTGGCTAGCTCCAAAGAGCAGGCTGAGTTTAGCAAATCCTGCCTCGCCAGCGGAGCTGAGCTCAGAGCTCACCCCAGCCACCCTCCGACAGCTCCAGCTTGCGCTGACAAAGCTGCCCCCACCGCAGGCCCTTCTCCCACACAAATCCTATTAACAGAAGAACAAAAACTTTTCCAGCACTGAAATCCCATACTCAGAAATCATCCCAATGGCTTCCCCATCCTCAGTGACCAGAGGGCAGTCTAACATTGACACCCTGCAGGGCCAAGGAGAGGAGCTCCAGCCCACCACCAGCACCGCAGCTCCGCTCCTCGGGGACACCGAGCTGCACAGAGGGACCTGGGTGCAGGGGGGGTGCTTCAGGAGACCCCAGGACACGTGGGCAGGGAACCACCAGAGCTCTGCAGGGAGAGGACACCGAGATGCTAGCACCAAGCTACGTGCCAGCCGAGACACGGCTGCAACGTGGCACAGGACAGCACGCCAGCTGCACCCTGCTCCTCTCCCTTGCTGGCTGCTCTGCTGCCGGCCCTGCGGAGCAGCCCTGGGGTGCGCTGGGTGAGGGGTGAGCATGGCCCTGCTCGGGGCCACACCAATGCATGGGGACCAAGCACCCAGAGCAGCCCCCCTGAAGGAGCATTTCCAGCTCAATCTCCTTGAGTGGGCTGTTCCACTAGAGCTAGGTTTTTTTCAAAGGAAATCTGGTCCATCCTGCAAAAGATGCCATTTGTCAAAAAAAATGCCCTTTTCAATCAAAATCATTGTAAGGGGAGATTTTCAACCAGCCACCATCTCTGGGCAGGTGGCTGGACACTTCCAAGGGAGGTTGTGCAGAAGAAGCCACCAAAGCACTGCCCAGGAAGGCAGAGGGGTGAGGGGAGGGGAACCCAGGCAGCCGGACCCCTGGGCACTGCCCGCTGCTGGGCACAGCCCGCACCGGCCCAGGGCCCATTGGTGGGGGAGGCGAGGAAGGAATGGAAAAATCATCGCATACATAGCACAGATGGAAAGAGTTTACAGCCCTCCTCACTTCCTCATCCTCGTGGTGTAAATTATACGGACAGATGTACAATCTGGGAAGTTGTCCAGATTTTCTCTCTTTTTTTTAATTTTTTTTTTTTTTTTTTTTTTTTAAGAAAGAGGGATGCTAAACCAACACTAGTTATGCCATGTCTCGTCCTTGGCTTTCGTTGCTGGCTATGGGAGAGAAGAAGCCAGTGCTGCTGGCACGTGGTGAAGGATCCCAATGAGCCCCGAGCCCGCCCGCGGCACCTCTCAGCATTCTCCTGCGGGCAGGGTGCACGGCGCTGCCGGGCAGGGGCTGCTGGTGGCTGTGCCCCCCCGGCTGCCCCCAGCACCGAGAGCTCCCGAGCCCTGCCAACGGTGCTGGGCTGGCGTGGCCGCGATCCTGCACACAAATGGGAGCAGCTCTGAGGCTATTCACTGGATTGCCAGGAATGAGAGGGAGGAGGCGGATGACAACATGTTTCCAGTGCCTTGCTTTGCACAGATATCCTCCAGGCAGCATGTGTGCGTCTGCAAGGGGCTCAGTGTGCCTCTCCCCGCTGCTTCCAAACAAGGATCAAGTAAACTTTCCAAAGCATATTCTCCCCCGTCAAACACTACTCTCACTTTGGAGACTGTCCATGGCTTTGACACTCCTGTGGGTTTTCTACCCACATCCTTGTGCCAAAGACTCCCTGGCGGGAGCAGCAGGTTGTGCTTGGCTTTTGATGGAGAGACGGGAGGCCGCTGGCGCCCAGCCCCACGCCCGAGCCCCGGCTGCCATCGCAGCGGCCGAGGGGACGTGCCCCAGGACTCGGCTGCCCGGCCACCAGCAGCAGATACAGGGGTGGGCAAGCCCCACAGACAGAGCCCACCGCAGCTGGCAGGTGCTGGTGCCCCCCAACACGAGCACCCAGCGGCCCCACCTATGCCGGCAGCCACGCAGCCCCTTCTACCCACACGTGGGGCTCCTTCCAAAACCCAAACTTGGAGACCCAGAGCCATGGCTCTGACCCCACTCCCCACAGTCCCACTGAGCTCCTCAGCAGCAGGAGAGCAGCCCAGAGCCCTGGGGTCCTGGAGCAACCCGAGGACAAGCCCGGGGCCAGGGACACCCCAGGGGTGGCACAGGGAGGTGGGGAGGCTGCGGCTGGCTCAGCACAAAGCCCCGGGGGAGCCCAAATTGGGGGGAGCCCAGCTGGGAACCAGGGGACCAGCAGCCCTGCAGACAGCAAGTGGCAGCACAGAGGGCTCACAGCTGTGCCACAGGAGCTGCCTGGGCCCTTCTGGGCCCTGAGCCACTGCACAGACCTCTGCAGGTAATTAAAGGGCTGGGCAGCTGAAGAGAATAAAGGCTTTATTTATGCCTCACTATGGCAGGGATTCAGAGCTGTTAGCAGGAATTCCCAAGCCCAGTCCTGCCTGCTTTGTTCTTAATGGGGATGGATTTTTTATTCTAAACCACCAGAGAACCAGTGAAAAAATAAATAAAGTCAGACTGCATACTGGTCTCCTGTGCCCCACCGCAACGCAGCGGTAAACATTTCCACCCACTGGCCACAGTGTTTTCCACCTCAGCTCGCTGCCCCAGAGACTTTACCCAAAGCCCATCACACCGAGCTGCACCCAGCCTCCAACACCAGCAAAAACAAGTTGCTCCAGAGCAAGGAATAAAATCAGAGGCATCTGCGTGCTTTATACTCTAAACAGGAACTGGCCTGCCACCTCAAACTCCATACCAAATCACAAGCAACAGAGCAGAAAACCAAATTATTCTCAGCTGTTACACTGCTTAATTTAATATTTCCAATGAGCTCCTTTTCCTTCTCTTCAAGAATGAAATGCATATTTGTGCTGTGTCACAAAACATTAGATTTTGTCAAGGCAATTCATTTTTCAATGGTAATTTGTAAGTGCACACCATACCACACACGGTCTGGGGAATTTTATGGCTTCTTTCAGAGGGAAGGAAAATAAGAAGCACTCAAACTAGTGATGAGAGCATGGAGGGAAAAAAAAAGTGAGAAGAGGTAACAATAACAGACAGAGCATTCATCTCTCAGCCACACCAGTCTCTGCAAGGAAAGGGAACCCAGGGAGCAAGCAGCGGCCGCGTGGTTTGGGTGCTCCAAGACAAACACCACGAGTGTCGCTGATGAGCGCAGGGCATGCCCGCTCTGCAAAGCTCCAGCTCTCCGCAGAATTTCAAACACTGAATTTAATGGGGCATATAACAGGCTAAATAACCTCATCAGCTTAATAATAAAACAAATATAAGTCAGCCTGCTCTCAGGCTTGTTATCACGTAAAGAACTTTGTGAAAGACAAGGGATTTGGGCTGTGACACGGAGCTCGAGCACAGAGGACCAGCCCGCTGGGTGGCAGGGGACGCTCTGCTTGGAAGCCCCTGCCCCAGCCAGATGGTCACGGTCCATCCGCGCTGCCCACCAGCCCGGTCCTGTCCCGGGCAGGAGCAGACAGAGCTGTGTCCCGGCACATCCTGCTGGAAGATGTGGCTGCCACGGCTCCAAGCGCGCACACCGAGAGCCAGCACCAACACAGCGAGGTGCCAGGATTTCAGCAGCAGCTCGCACGCTCTGCTCTGGCCACCAGCACGGCCAGGGCTCGGCTTCCCCCCTGCAGCCAGCCCGTGGTGCCCAGGAAGGGCCCAGCTCCAGGCTGCGGCACAGCCAGGGAGCAGCTCCGGGCACCGCACCAGCAGCCCCGGCAGAAGGGGCCCAGAAGGAGCCCGCGTGGCTCAGGCTGTGCTCTCTCCTGCAGACACCATCTCCTGCTGCAGGACTCCCTGCTCAGCCCCAGGCTGGTATCACGGGCATGGAGGCAGAGCACACCACCAGCCTTCAAACAGAGCTTGCAAAGTTGATGGGTGGAACTGCGTGACAAAACAGGGTGATCCTGTCATTAAACCTGCGATCTGAGGCTTGAGTCATGTCACCAACGGGGGCAAAAGGAGACTTGATCTACTGTGTTTGGTGTACTACGCTCACAGGCAGCCAATTAATTGAACTCATACCTCAGGGACCTCTGCAGGCCAGAGGCAGGAGGACATTCCCCAGCCGCCTGGTGCAGACCTTTGCTGCCAGTGTTTTTGCTGTCCCCCCCCTTCCCCAAACATCAGACACCAGCCCCAGCTGCAGAGGGGATGTGGGCTGCACGAGCTGTTTCTTCCAGTAACGCTGACAGCCCTGCAGGCTGGTGCTGTTTCAGGATTAAGCCGATGCTTTGGTGTCAGGATGGAATTTTACCCAAACCTGGCTGTCTGGAGGCTGCTTTTGTCTCTGGTTCGGCCACCTGAGCATTCCCAGCACAGCAGCACCCGAAGGTCCCTTGCTCTCTCCTGCTTTCTCTCCCCAGTTTGCGTTGCAGCTCAGAGCTTTTTCATCTGTGTAGCAGGAGCCTTTTGTTCGGCTGGGGCACATTAGCAGGCATTTTTAGTTTATGTTTGTGTCTTTGGAGGAACTATCAGCTCAGGAAAGTCGCAGCAAGGATTACAGCTGGGATTTCCATTAAACCTGCAGGAGTTTGTGCTCCTGGCCCATGCACATCTCACAGGGACTGTGGTATCCAGCTCGTGTACAGGCTTTTTACCAGTTGAAGCACCAAAGAAAGCAAACACCAGAGTACTCACACAGCTCAGAGGGCCCCGGGCTCCTGGGTCACGCCTGCATTTCCAGAATCCTGCCCTGCTCCGGGACGTTCCCGCGTGCCAGCCGAGCCCCGGGCGTGCAGGAGCAGCCCCTGAGTGCCCGGAGGCGCTCCCTCTGCTCTGCTCCAGCCGCTGCCTTCGCTCACCACCTGCACTTTGTGTTTGCTGCTAGTCTGCAAGCTAATAGCAGGTATCCAGCCTGTCACAGGCTGACATGTTGTGACATACCGTAATATGACAAGTCCTGAGTGATGCCACTAAATGGGATCTTGCTGCATCAGTGCCAGACAGACAACAATATCTTTCAGGTTGGTACCAATGCCCCCGTCTCAGTAACAGACAAAGAAACATTCATTTAATACCCGCTTGCTTTGGATATCTCACTTGGTCTTCTTGCCACCAACAAGGTTATTAAGAGGGATTACCAGAAGCCTGAGACAGCCACGCACCAGGCAGAGCCGGGAGCTGGAGGCGATGCAGCAGGTAACGGGCCAGAGAAAACCCCTGCATGTCCCGGCTTCTCAGGGGGGCTCCAGCACTGAACACAGGGGTGGTTTTAGTATTACATTTACAACCACACGGTCTACATTTAGTGCATTACAATGCAGCATAAAAAACTGGCATGGTGTGGAATACATGAGCTAAAAATATTTGCGCTACATCTTTCATACTACTTATTTTTCCTGAACTCGTTAGCTTCACAGCTCAGAAATTCAGGTGTACCACCAGGAGGAACCAGCAGGGCTCTGCCACACAGCAGAAGACAAGGGGAGAGGCACCAAAACACCCCACCGCTGGTCAAACCACCCTCACCAACGTTCCATCAGGAGCAGAATAGCACCAACAGAGTAGAAACCACCCCACGTACACACAGGAAATACAATTTATCAGGAATAGCTCGCGGTGCTGTCCAGTCCAAATACAAGCTGCAATATTTAGTACCTGTGCATCTCACCTCCAGGTGTAAGCTCTCCTCAAACCCCAGCATAAGATCACAGGCCCAATGCCCAGTGACTGTGGTTTTAATGCATTTTTCAAAATAATCCTTTATATCTTCATCCTGGAGTTGTAGGCAAAGCACAGGCAAGGAGGCTGGCATTACCTCTCCACCAGCCACCAGTTCTCTTCCACCACCACCAGGCCAGCCGAAGACCTCAGACATGGTGGTGCAGCTTTGGCTGTATACCTTGACAGGAGGACAAAACAACATAAAAACACCTTTTTTCCACGATGCTGATTGCAGCCTGTGGCACCCAGCAGCCCCACATCGCCAGTCCCTGCTGCCCTGGAGCTCCTTGCCCAGGCTGAGGGAGCTGGCACTGCTGCATGTGCCAGCCTCGAGCCTCAGGGATCTGTTTGCTTTCTCAGTGCTCCATGAGCAAGTAAGAGAATAAGATTTATAGCGTATTTTAAGGTTAATCAGTAAAATCTTTCAGGCAACTAACTGTATAAGCTTCCATTCATACAGCATGATTTATAACACTGAGGAGAAGTGATTGGAAGCGGCGTGGAGAGGTAGGGAAGGTGCCGGCTTTGACTCCCCACTCGGAAGCACACTGGCACCAGCACAGCTCAGCAGCACCCAGCAGAGGCACCCCGCTCTGAGCTGTGCTCCCACAGGGCTTGTCTGTCTGTCTGTCTGCCACCCCAACCCAGCACAGGTAGCGGGGGACACCCCTGCCACCTCTGAGCCTACCTGGAGCAGGATGGTCCCTGTGGGCCCCTCAGGAGGGTGCAGCACCCAAACCACCCACAGGGAGCTGCGCCGGGCACACACAGACAGCTCCAGAGAGCATCGCCCTCGTGCAATGCAGGCACCTCACAAAACCACAGCTATTTGCTCAAAATGAAGTTTTGGTGAGGAGGAGGAGAAACAAAGAAGAGTGGTGACAGCATTCGACCTGTCCTCCTGTAATAACTTTTTTTCAATTGTCCTTTGTGATATATAAAAAGTTTAACTGATTTATTGCATCTGAAACAGTACTTGTACCAATTATCTATCAGTCTTCCCAAAATACATTTTTTCTGCCATCCTGAGAATTTTCCTGAAGGGACAGTCTCAGAATAACTGGGTTTCATTGCAGTTAAAAGGAAGCTGAGCACCAAAATCCCACGTCCCTTAGCAGGATGGGCTTTCTGTCCCCCTCCAGCTCCAACAGCGCCTTCCTGCTTCCAGTCCACTCCCTGGCGGACGCGGTGGCTGTGCTGCATGTAATTAACAACCGTAATGAGTTCAGGGGCCTGCCTGTGGATAACTGCAGCCAAACTCTGCCTTTAACACACGGCACCGCGGAGACACGGGGGAGCACTGGGCTCGTGCCCTGAGCTCTGTGCCAGGTTGGAAGCACTGGCGGTGCCTGGGTGAGCACAGGGCGCAGAGAGGACAGCCCCGGCCCCGTTACAACCAGGAGGCATTGAACAATGGTTGCAGAACGAGGAGGGGAAGATTGCACAAAAGATAGAAACGCTGCATGGTTCCTGAGCCAGCAACTGAGTTCTCCAGGAGCAGCTAGTGAGGGGACTCCGATAATCACTAACTGTGTTTATTTGCCTTACTTAAAAATATAAAGATTTTCTCTCCAGTTCTGGGCAGGGGGAAAGGTTAATGAATTCCTTCAGAGCAAAGAGATCTTCAGACCCCTCAGTGGAAACAAGGTCAGAAATCAATGCTGGAGGTGGAGCAGGGAGGCCAGGTTAGAAAATAATGAAAAGGGAAAAAAAATACATAAATAGAGAGGCAGGAAAAAAATGATAAGCTAAACAAATAGCAGGGTGACACTTGCTCAGCTCCCCACAAAGAATATTGAATTATTGTCTATAATTTGGGCTATCGAACCTAAATTAGGGCCTCCAGACTAAAAACTGCTGCATTGTCTGAGGGTACATCAAGGGTCAAATGCTCCTTTGGTTTGCTCATTATTTGCTCTGATACTAGGCTGTCATTAGCGGCAGCAGCGCTGAACAAAGCTGCATTACAAAGGCAGTACACATCAATGGTGCTAATTAATTGGATTAATGGAAGGGCAGCACAAATTAGGTCTGGCTTGGATAATTTCAATGAAAACTGAATACCAATCCCCAAAGTCATTGGAATATGGATGAGGCAAATTGAGTTAAAATAGAGGAGACTGCTGCATTCATTAGCCCGCCCACCCTCTGAAGTAGTTGTTTAATATGCAAACTATTAATATGTAAATCAGCACAAATGAAAAAAAGTGTGATTTTTTTTTTAATTCTCCCGAACACAGGCAGCTGCCTGACGTGAAAGAGCTGCGCATTTCCACGCTGGCAGAGGATGGCATTGCAGAGAGGAGCTTTTATCTCAGAAATTCACATCTCGTAACCTGCACTGCCCCCAGCTCAGCAGTACGCGGGCATGGGGAGGGAAAAGGCTGGGAAAATAACTAGTTAAAAATAAGCAATCCTGCCCCAAACCACGCTGCTGGGTATGGGGAGCTGTGGCCACAAGCCCCACAAGCAGAGGGAGGCTCAGGAGCCGCTCAGCCCAACCCCGGTGCCCCCACACCATGTCCCCCCGGGCACAGGGCCACCAGGCTGGGCACATGCTCCCACTTTTGGGGTGGAGCAGGTGGCCCCCAGCTCACCGCCTTGTGCCTGCTGCTCCTGGCTTCAGAGCACTTCCAACAACTGAGTTTATTAGGGAAAGGCGATAAGGCAACCTTCACGCTCTGCAACTGCCTCCTGTGGGGGCCTTCTGGTAGTGGAGAGCTCTTCAAGGCAGAAACAAAGCACCATCCACACCCAGACTGAGGCTCCCACATTTGGGCCAGAAACAGAAGAAAAAAACCCCACACAACTCTTGGAATGACGCACTGAGCATGCCCATCTCCTCTGTGACCAGATTTGCCCCAGTTCACCCAGCAACGTCGGGTCCATGCTGGTGTCAGGCAGGAGATGCTCGGGTAGAGCTCCTGCGCCCAGGCAGCATGCGAGCACACAAGATCACTGCGAACGGCTCCTCCTGAGACTATAATCTGAATTGCCTTGGCCAGCATACGAGCAGCTGAATCTGTGAAGATTAGTAATAATTCCCAAACCATTTCTGACTTCACGGTTCCAGCCCCGTAAATTACAGCTCTATTGTGCTTTCCCACTGCCGCTGCAGCGCCAATCACCACCCTCCGACAATTACAGAGCAAGTGAAAAACTTCTTAGAAACTGTAATTACACCTAAGAACTGTTTCCCTCTTTGGCTTCCTTTGCTTAGCGGGTGACCCTTCAATGTTGTGACAAACATGTTGTTTGGAATTATTTTTTCATTTCTAGCTGTTAACCAGACATGTCACCGCTTCAGCTTTTGGCATTTTCTGCTGTGATTTTTCTTAGTTAAATAAGATTGTGTGTGTTACCTCACACCCCCAAGCCCACTGCTTACTATGTGCACGTGCCACTCAGTGTGCTGCGTACCCCCAACCACCACTGGCACCCACAGACCCCCTTCCCACAGCTCAGGGGAAACTGAGGCACACACTGCAGCCCCCAAGGGCTGGGAACCCTTCACGCACCCATTGATGGTGTGAACCAATGGTCAGAAAAAATGGAAGTGCTTTCCACATTTTCAAACAGCACTTTCACACGGCTCACGCTGAGCAAGCCCTGACCCCATCAGACTCGACCAGACACCTCTGTTCCCTGGGGAGAGGAGCGCCTCCCGGCCCAGCTGTGTCAGGATGTCACGGGGAGGACTGGGACCGGGAAAGCACCCACTTCATAATATTTTGCCTTCTTCTGCTGTTTCCTTTTAACATTTTCCTTTGTCTGTAGGTTCCTATACTTCACTCAGTATTTGTTTTTGAGTGCCTAATCATCACAGCATATGTGTAAGTTCTTTGTGCAGAATTAAGCCATTAAATATTTCGAGGGATGGGGCATCTCACTTCTCCTCCAGGAAACTGGGGAGTGCAATAAATCGCACTGTCAGGGTCCCCTTCACCCTGGCTCAGTGCTGTGTGGCCTCGCCAGCAGGTTCAAGCTCATCCCTTGTCACTCCCCCCGTGCCAGCATGGTTAGAAGGGAAAAAGTCCTGGAGCACTTGGGAAAGATGTGGTAATGGGTAAAAGCAGCCAAACAGGAAACGAGCGTTTTTGTTTTATCCAACAATATACTCTTACTGATTTCTTGGCACTCCGTCCTTATCAGCAGGATGGGCAGCTGCAGCTGTGCCCGGTCTGCTCTGGGGCACGCTCTGCCTCCTCGCCTGCTGCGGGGGCACAAGCCAGTGGACCCAGCCCCACACAGACCAACTGGAGTGAAACAGAAGCAAAATACCAGGTTCCTTTAATGACACTTATCAGGAGTACAACCAGCCTTCCCTAATTAAAGTCAGATCACCTCCTCGGGCAGAACAAGCCCAGAGCATAGCAGCTATTTTCTTGGTGATTTCATTCGGTTTGTTTTTCTGTGCATAAGGCAATGTTCCTGCGATCCCTCCAAGACCTGGCAGAGCCTCCATGCTCTTGTCACCCTGTAACAGCTTCCTGGATTAATGATTCTGCAAAGGGCTAATTCTTAAGAGGGCAATGTCTTTTGCAGGCTGGTATTGATCTTTGTCAGCTTCCCCTTGAAAGAAAGAAAATATTGGCTTATTTACAAAAGGTAGCTTTTTGCTCCTGGCAAGTCAGCCTCAAGATTCACAGCTCCTCATGTCCCTCAGAAATTGGATAGGCTGAGGGTAGCTCCTCCAGTGTCAAAATCAAAGTCCTCAAAGTTCACAAAACCACAAACTTGCATGGTAGAAAGGGACGGGTGTTTCCACTGAGCAAACGGACAGAGGGTCTTGTGCTGCAGCACAAAACCCCATCAAAGAGGGCTGAGCCTGAGCCAAGATGAAGGGAGAGGAGCTGCAGAGAGAGCAGCCATTTGCTTCGTGGCTGAAATGCTATGGGTGTACTTGGGTTTCTGTTCTAAAGTGGATGAAAATGCAGGTTTTCAACAGTGTGCATGGAATAGATTTTTTTAGAAGTCATATATATTTGTATAACAGCAATATATATATAAACTGTACAAAATTCAAACTGAAAAAGAATCTAAATTCTGAAAAAATGTTAGCAAAACAGAAGACACCCTTTGCTAACCAGCACTTTGCTGAAACAGAAATGTTTTCCTTTCACAAAGCGGCCTTTCCAGGAGCAGAGGCTGACACTGGTGACAGAAGGGCAGCACGCA